TGGTGGAGAACTATCCCTGCTTGCATATGGTGGACCCTCTGGAAAGAAAGAAATTTAAGAAGCTTTGAGGGACAAAAGTCTAACTTACAGAAGATTAGAATGAATTGTATAAGCCTTTTTGTTTTTTTGGTGTAAACAGAATCTTGTAAGGGATATAGTAGATTTAGTTTATTTTAAAGGAAACTTGTAAAGTATACCCATGGGTGGGATGTAAGTTTCCAATTCATCATTTTTTGGGATGATGAATTTTTTGGTGTGAATACAAAGTTACCCTTGTCTCAAAAAAATAATATGTAGCTCGGATACATTAAAAACTAGCTCGGATACATAATATGTAGCTCGGATATATTAAAAACTAGCTCGGATACATTATAAAATATATCGGATACATTAAATACTGGCTCAGATACATTAATATGTAGCTCTGATACATTAAGAAATAAGGGATTTTAGAGGTTTTTAGAAATAGAAGAGGATATTGGAAATAAAAGAAACATAAGATGCGTATTTCAGTAATTTTTCCTTATAAATATATATAATATTGTAATATCAAGCCCGTAAACGGCCGTTTCATTATATTGGGCCGGTATCACGGGCCTTAAATTATCTAGTATCAATATAAAAGCATTATAAAGTCTTCAATAAATCAATTCGGTGTTGACTACCCCCACCCACCAAGCTTGAATGAGGTGTTTGACTTTTGAGTTTTGCCACTGTACAGTTTCAATCTCTGGTTTTCTGCAAATCAGAGGTTCCTCAAGTTTCTATTTTGTTTACATCTAGATGCTTCGCAATTGTTCTAGATCATGTTTTTTCTTTAAAGTATTTGATATCAACTTGAAACCTTATTGTGATTTTGTTTAGGAGTAGGTCAAAGGCATGGATTCCTTTATGTATTAATGATTTAGCACACCATGGGAAGCAAACATTCGAAAGGAACAACTTACACAAGTGATCCAGTTCCTTTTGCAGCTTTGCAACTTCCTTTTGCAGCTTTGCAAGAAGCAACTAACAACTTTGATGACAAGTTTTTCATTGCAGAGGGTGGATTTGGGAAGGTTTACAGGGGTGTTTTACGTGATGGAACAAATGTGGCCCTGAAAAGGCATAATCGTAAGTTCCAACGAAGTATTGAAGAGTTCCGAACAGAAATTGAGATTCTCTCACAGTTCCGCCAACCCAATCTGGTTTCATTGATTGGATACTGTAATGATAACAATGAGATGATTCTAATTTTTGAGTATTTAGAGAATGGGAACCTCAGGAGCCATTTGTATGGGACACATCTACCCATTTTGAGTTGGGAGCAGAGGCTGGAGATATGCATCGGGGCAGCCAGAGGTCTCCACTACCTTCATACTAGCAGAATTATACATCGTGATGTCAAGTCTTCAAACATATTGCTTGATGAGAATTTTGTTCCAAAAATTGCTGATTTTGGAATATCCAAGAAAGGGACTGACCTTGATCAAACCCATCTTAGCACAAGGATAATAGGAACAGTGGGCTACATTGCCCCTGAATATGTTATAAGGGGACATCTGACAGAAAAATCTGATGTTTATTCTTTCGGTGTTGTTTTATTCGAAGTTCTTTGTGCTAGGCCTGCCATAGGTCATTATATTTCGAAAGAGATGGTTAGTTTGGCTGAATGGGCAATTGATTCTCAGAAGAAGGGACAATTGGAACAAATCGTAGATCCCAATCTTCTGGTCAAAATAAGACCAGAGTCCCTCAGGAAGTTTGGAGAAACAGCGGTGAAATGCTTAGCTGTTTCTGGTGTAGATAGGCCATCTATGAGCTATGTGCTGTGGAATTTGGAGTATGCACTTCATCTCCAAGAGCCTGTCATTCCAGATTATCCTGAAGAAGACAGTAGCTTCCCTATTCGCGAGCTATTACCGCTAATCAATGATTTCACTGATGTTGATGCCAGTTCTAATGTTGCTCAGGTTGGAACATCAAATTTGGATGATATCTCTAGTGATGAGCTTATAAGTCCGAGATAACTATGTGAAAATGGTACATACCTTCCTTCGGTGTTTGTTAATTCCACTTATATTTCCTGAATCATATGAATATTTATTTTTGGCTTTTGTAATAATTTATTTTACTAAGTTTTGAGTTGTATATAGAAAGAATGTTAACTTTGAAAACATGCGTTGCTCTACCTGTGGATATGGGGTGTCCGGTTGTTTCACATGTTGTGTATCGTTTTCAATAGATCTTTTCATGCATAGAAAATCATTAGTGAAAGTCTTTTCAAAACATGGAATAATTTTGAGCCTCTAGGAATACCTGATAACGTATTTCTTTGATACCGTTTATTCCCTCATCCATGTGTCAACCTTCTTTGAAGAATGAAAATGCAAAATAAATGGCTGAAGTTACCTTTGCACAATGGAATTTCTGTCCATTTCCTATTGAACACCTTATGATGTTACATGACGTAGTAAGCATAGTCTAGTATGAAATACGATCTTTCTTTTTAGACTGTCATCATATTGTTGAGAGAAAACCTGCTTGCATGTCTCCATTCATTTTTTGTTGGGCCCATCTGAACTGCTCCTTGGCTAATCCACCGGTTACCTGCTACCTTCCACCAGCACAAGTATCAGGTAACATTCAACTTTTTTTCTTAGAACGAGTAATAAAGTTTCGTATCAAATTCCATCATAATGCAAACTGTAATCGCTTAGTTTCATGACTGGTCATGCTTGAATGCTTATGTCAATACGTTATGCATTACTAAGCACTTAAACATCGGAGATTGTCTTCTTAAAGATGTATACCGGAAGCTTCTTGCTTCTTCCTGATGTGATTTACAGTCAGCGTTTTGTTGCTTACATCTATTCTTAGTATGTTTTAGACAGCTAATAGGCATTGAGTTTGCACTTTGTTTATAGTATGATCACCAAAACGAACAAGAAATATTTGAACTATAATGAAAGTTATGGATTCTGATGGCTACTCCATAGCAGTGTTTCCTTAGTAATCTATGAAGTTGCATTTATTTGGTGAACTACCTAGATGACTCGAAACTCATTATAATAAGAAATAGTATTATTAGTTTCTCTTGTCTTTTTTTTCCCTTGGTATAAATAAAAGTTTTATTAGGACCAACCCACTTTAGCCCATAAACCCAATATTATGTGGCATATACAAGGTTTATCTGGTCTTATTTTCAGAAACACAAGAGAAAAAAATCAAGAGAGATTTGTTTTAGAGATTTTTGGAAAAAGAGAAAAATTTCGTTTTTGTTTCTGGAAATTTTCTGCTCAGGCAGTCCACTTCAGACAGAGTTTGCCGCTTCGTTAACCGTTGGTTCGTGCTCAAATATGAACTAGGAGTTCTCAGCATCTAGTTCTTGCAATTCAATGGTGGAGATCGGATTTGTAGGTATGTAGCTTCTGATTTTGGGGCGTGAACAGTAGCTCGTTTTTGGGTGAAATCTGGATTTCCAACGCCTTGGGAAACTAGGGCTAGAGCTAGCCAGAAAAAGAAGGGTAAGAACGTTTATCTCGAAAGAGATTAAGTAAGGCAAGTTTCTGACCATTAATTCTGTAACAAATGAGCGTAGAATTCCTCCTTGCTTTCCCCTTTGACCTGTGCCAAACTCCACTTTTGCTGTTGCCAGGTTTTCCTATAACTCTCTAGTTTTGGTGCAATCTTGTTTTGTTGTTGCTCGTTGTTTGGCGCTTGTTTTGTGGCCAATTTTGGACAACAATTTTGTAACTCTTGGTGTTTATAGTGGAGCTTTTGGTCCTGTGGTTTTTTACTCTTCACATCAAAGGGTTCTCCATGTAAATCGTTGTGTCTTATGTGATTGACTTTTTCTTAACTTCTTGTTTTTGTTTGGTTGATATACTTGCTGTCCATTCTTCGTATTGCTTGATTTGGTTTGTCTTCTCTTTGTTCAAATTGAAAGGAAAAGTTAGACTTGGGTATTATTCTGTTGTAATCCTGTCGGACATTCTTGTTAGTGCCTTGCCTTTCCCATCATTCCGGTGGAAAATTTCAATTTGAATTCTTCTATTGGCTCTGTATTCTTTAACCATTTTATGCATCTTCCAACAGTTGAGTAATCCTTGCAAATGCTTCTATTTTGTTTCTTTTGTATAAGTTTCATTTTGATTTATTGTCTTGCCACTTTATGCAACATGAAATAAGTATTATTTTGTCCTCGATTATGTGCACATTAGTTAATTTGGTTTGCTATAATCGTACATAATGGCTTAAGCTATGTTAATCATGTGCAAGGTTTTGATAGACAAAACAATAGCTCTTTGGTTGAAACAAAAAATGTTACTCCCTCCTTCCCTTTTTAGTTGTCCACTTTAGAAATGGCACACAGATTAAGGCAACAATGATTAGCACAGTAGAAGTTACAATTTTACCTTATGACAACTTTTCACTTCAAAATTACAACCACTTATTGAATTCAAGTGAAATAAATTGGAGGGAAACAACATACACTTTTACAATTTTCAAGAAGTGTAAATAAGGGTATAATAGGAAAAAATTTGTTGTCCTTTCTTGATTTGTCAAAATGGACAACTAAATAGGGACAACCAAAAAAGGAAATATGGACAAGTAAATAGGGACGGAGGGAGTATAATCTTGTTAGGATCAAATACTGTTTAAGAAACTGTTTCATCTTTTATTCGATATTCATAAAACAAAATCCAAGTTTTGTCCCAGACTTCTAATGTTGGATATGTCACTTTCCCACGAGAGATAAAAGGAGAGACACACAATAATTATCCAAAGGCAACTTGAACAGCCTAGTCTTCTTCTCTTCCAAATCTCCACTAAAACTATTAATGGTTGCACTCCACACACCATGGGAAGCAAGTATTCAAAGACAACAACTTCCATAAGTGATACGAGTTCCTTTTGTAGATTTGCAGGAAGCAACTAACAACTTCGATGACAAGTTTCTCATTGCAGAGGGTGGCTTTGGGAAGGTTTACATGGGTGTTTTGTGCAATGGCACAAAGATGTCCTTGAAAAGGCGTTAGCCTGCATCTGAAAGAGGTATTGAGGATTTTTGAACAGAAATTGAAATTCTCTCACAGTGCAGCCATCCCTATCTTGTTTCATTTGATAGGATACTGTGATGAAAATAATGAGATGATTCTAGTTTATGAGTATATGGAGAATGGGAACCTCAGGAGCCATTTGTATGGGTTAGATGATCTACGTCTACCCAGTATGAGCTGGGAGAAGAGGCTGGATAATGGAGATATGCATTGGGGCAGCCAAAGGTCAGCACTACCTTCATACCAACACAGTTATACATCGTGATGCGGAGGACATGACCAATGAAGAGGTGTGAGAGGTTGGTTATGGAGGGTACGGGGAGAGGTAGAGGTGGGCCAAAGAAGTATTGTGAAGAAGTGATAAGACAAGATATGACGCAACTTCAGATTACCCAGGACATGACCTTAGATAGGAAGGTGTAGAGGACACACATTATGATTGCAACTTAGCAGGAAAGGTAGGATCGTCTTACTTTTTGGTGGTTGGTGTTTACCATTGTACTAGTTGTTTTATGGCATAATAAATAAATGTGCCCCTTAACTTGGCCCCGTTTCACATTTCTGTCCTCCAACTCTAGGTATGCATGCACAAGTAGGCAGTTAAACTTGTATATATTTGAACAAATAGACACATCAGTCCTACGTGGTATAATACATGTAAGACACTATGTATGATGCAAATTGCCACATAAGATGTCACGTAGGACGTGTGTGTTTACTTGTTCAACTTTCTACAAGTTTAAGTGTCTACTTGTGCACAGACAAAGTTGGAAGGCATAAATGTGAGCTAAGACCAAGCTAAATAGCATATTTATGTCTTATGCCTTGTTTTATTGTAGTTCTTGTTTTTGATATATGTCATTGTTTATTCTTGTTTTCAATAATCTGTCCTAGTATTGTGTTTATTGATTATAACACTATTTTATTGTCGTTTTTACTCCCTTCTGATAGACTTTGTGATAGCATCCATGTTAGCCTACTTGTACTAAAGTTGACGGGTTACAATACAAAATTAAGAATATGTTTATCACGAAAGATGTGTCCAAATTCAAGCCCAAAAGAAAGAAGATTGGGCCACACAAAGCCCAATAAAAGAGTCCAAAAAGCTAAACGGATAAGTCAAAGTTTCCTAGTTTAAAAACTTCTTTATTTTAAAGTTTTCCTAGTTTAAAGGTTTCCTGTTTTCCTAGTTTAAAGTTTCATAGTTTAAAGTTTACCTAGTTTAAAGTTTTCCTAGTTTAAAGTTTCCATAAATGTAGGATTTAAATCCTATTCTATTTAAGATAGGTTTTCCCTATATATAGGGATTGATTTTATTATTTTGAATAGACATGATTAATATTATTTGAGAGATTTCTCTTGTTTACACCTTTGTGTGTGGTGACGATGAATTTATCTTACAACCTTATAAGAACAATTCTTTAAGAGGTAAGATTAATTCTTAATTTGATATCTTTGGTTTCTATTCGTAAATTAAAGAAGGTGATTAGTCTTATACTAATTGTTGTCTCTAATTTCTTCGTAATAGGGGTCTAAATCACTTTTGATCTAAGTTCTTGAATTGACTCTATTAGTATCATAATTAGTCTTAATCCGCTAAATTTGAATACTAAGATCAATTAGGGTTCTTAGCACTTTATTTTGAAATTGGGGATTTTATTTTTGAATTTCACATATCTTTCAATTTCTGTCTTTAATCCTTATAATTTCACTTCCGCATTATTTTCTTGTTTATTTTGGTAACCTGATTCTTATCACTTTGTTTTGTTTTCTTGTTGCTTACTATCTTTTCTTCACTGTTTCTTTCTTTTTCACTTGAGCTGAGGATCTTTCGAAAACAACTTTTCTACCTCTACGTGGTAATGGTAAAATCTGCATACATTCTACCATTCACGTATCCCATTTGTGGGATTTCACTAGGTATGTCATTTTGTTGTTATCTTATCAAGAATATCACATCTTTCACGTATCTTTCTCATCCAACAAGGCATGATCACCGAACCTACACTCAAGAATAATAATGCTTTGAAAAAGGCGTGATTCATTAAGTGAAAAACACTAACTAAATAGTTAGAGATGCCGCAAGCCAAAATCATAGAGCCTAATTGACTGGCTATGACCCTTTTTAGATCATTCTGTAATATTTCAGTGGTTGCCGCAAGGAATGATGTCATAATTCCTGCAAAGGTAATAACAATCAAAGTCGTAGGTGAGTATTCAAATATTCGGGAGCACCTTACTATCGTGAAAACATCAACTGTTATTATAGTAGCTACATGGATCAAAACGAATATTGAAATGAGACCTCCATAACATCACGTGACCAAGTCTACAGTTCCATTTGTGCAGATTTCCCAACAACACCAATGAAAAGTAAAATACAAATAAGAGGTATGACATTCAATCTCATATCTGAAGAAATCCAAAAATTTCTAGGGCACTAGATTGAACAAAAAATGATTGAAAAGTCTACTATTTGAAATAAAGTAAAAAAAAAAAAAAACACAAGATCAAATTTGATCTTTCGTTTTTCTTAAAAAAAGTTTTATATTATTTCGTACTATATGTAATTCATATATAGGATAAAATAACACGAGATATTATAAATTTAAAATAAAATTTAATAATTTATTTAATTTGTAAATTCCTACCGACCCCTCATCTGATGAAAGTCAATCAATCATCAATTATCTTTAGGGAGAAGACCAAAGTATGGGTGGATTTTTTTAACTCCACAAATAATTTTAGAATTTTACCTTTATATATATATAAAAAAAATTAATGGCGTGACCAAAATTTGAGGTGATTTAATGAAGAATTGAAAGAAGTTGAAAATTTGAGAGTTTTTGTTCTTCATGAGTTCTTGAGAGAGAAAAAGCAAAAAAGTACATTTGATCCAAAATCCTAATTGATAAGTATTAAAAGTTGTTTGGGGTCTTTTTGAAGTAAAAAATGGTTCTGCAAAATCAGAGTTAAAAGAATAATGGCATTGATGAACCTTTTCTCAAATGACAATGACATAGATGTGCCAAACTTTTTACTGATGACATAAAAAGTTCGATGGTATATTTGAGTCTTTTCCCTAAAAAATATAACCAATTGCTATAAAATTAATATATTGGGCACTTGCATATCACGGGCTATTGTAACTACCATATATAAAATATTGGGTACATGCATGTAATATTAAAATAATAATAATCATAAATAATAACATTAGATTTGGTGACAAATTGATAACAACGGTTATTCTACTTATAATGTAAATGAGTTAACATAAAAATCTATAAGTACTTAGATTAAGAAAAATAAATATTATACATAATATAAAAGATATTGCATCAATGAAAGAAATATCAAGGATAAAATAAATATATTTAAGATAAATAAAAAAATGTGTGTTATTGTTAGTTAAGGGAGGAATTTGATTTTTAAGGGATAATGCATAAGAACCCCTAAACTATTTTAAAAGTAGAATAAATAAACCCTAAATACTGACGTGACATAGAGAATGTGCACTCTCTTTGAAGGCAAGTGAACAACGAAAAAATTGAATAAGGTGTGTCGCTGTAATTTCGGTCATAATTTAGGAGATACTTGTGCCTTCTCTCGATCTTTTAAGCAAAATTGAGAGGGTAAATAATTTTCAACCATTAAATCTTACTCATTAATTTAATTTATGCAATGTGTCCCAGTTGAAGTAAAAAATAGGAAAAATGAAGAGAAAATGGAAAGGATACAATCGTCTCACTCTACACATGATGTAAAATATCCATATAAAAACATAGTTTCGTGGATAAGCTTGCAATCAAGCCGGCATTACAAGTAGTTCAAGCATGTAACTTGCAAGTAGCCCAAGCAGACAACTTACAAGTAGGAAGAGGTGTCATGATGTGTCGTAGATGACGCATCATGGACTTCTCCTTTTAGCCAATAGCTTCTTTTGATCTATAAATATGAAGTCATGAGTTTCATTTGTATAAAAGGAGTCGCACAATAACCTAAGTTGTACGGACTCTTCACTTTTGATGCCACACCCGTGTCGGATTCTCCAAAAATACACTACTTTTGGAGAATCCGAAACGCATTTGTTGACATTTTTGAAGAGTCCGAGCAACATAGACAATGACTATCTAAAAACGCTGCACGGAAAGACTTTTCAGTTTCTCGTCTTCTCATCCAAATCTCCAGTGTTGTGGTAAAATTATAGCTTCCTCAAGCTTCTGTTTTGTGTTTCCATGTACATACTTCCTCTATTATATATAGTTGCAGTTGTTCTAGATTCCTCAATTAGTGTTTATTTATTTTTACTTGTGTATATGTTTTTAACTTTGCCACAGCTTGCCCAGTCAAAGACTAGATTCCTTTATCTATTAATGGTTGCACTCCACCATGAGAAGCAAGTATTCCAAGGAAACAACTTACATAAGTGATACTACGAGTTATCACATTCCTGTTGAAAGTTGTCGAATTCCTTTTTCGGCTTTGCAGGAAGCAACAAACAACTTTAATAAGAACTCGTTAATTGGATTGGGTGGCTTTGGGATGGTTTACAGGGGTGTTCTGTGTGATGGCACAAAAGTGGCCTTGAAAAGGTGTAAGCCTGAGTCCTCACAAGGTATTGAAGAGTTCCAAACAGAAATTGAGATGCTCTCTCACTTCCATCATCCTTATCTGATTTCATTGATTGGATATTGTGATGAAAATAATGTGACGATTCTAATTTATGAGTACATGGAGAATGGGAACCTCAGTAGACACTTGTATGGGTCATATCTACCCACTATGAGTTGGGAACAGAGACTTGAAATATGCATTGGGGCAGCCAAAGGTCTTCATTACCTTCATAACAACGCAGTAATACATCGTGATGTCAAGTCTACAAACATATTGCTTGATGAGAATTTTGTGGCAAAAATTACTGATTTTGGACTATCCAAGACAAGGACTGAGCTTGATCAAACCCATGTTAGCACAGTCGTGAAAGGAACTTTAGGCTACCTTGACCCTGAATATCTTATACGGGGAAAGCTGACAGAAAAATCTGATCTTTATTCTTTCGGTGTTGTTTTATTCGAAGTTCTTTGTGCTAGGCCTGCCATGGGTCATTATATTTCGAAGGAGATGGTTAGTTTGGCTGCATGGGCAATTGATTCTCAGAAGAAGGGACAGTTGGAACAAATCGTAGATCCCAATCTTGCAGCCAAAATAAGACCAGATTCCCTCAGGAAGTTTGGAGAAACAGCGGTGAAATGCTTAGCTGATTCTGGTGTAGATAGGCCATCTATGAGTGATGTGCTGTGGAATCTGGAGTATGCACTTCGTCTCCAAGAGCCTGTCATTGAAGATGATCCTGAAGCAAACAGTACCATTCTTATTGGGGAAAATCAATGATTCTGTTCTTCTGCTGCTCAAAACATCAAATTCCACTTAGGTTCATGAATCATATGAAAATTTATTTTTGTTTTGTAACTAATTTAGTTACCAAGATCTGATTTCTATATAGTAAAGAAAGCTAACTTTGAAAACATGCATTGCTCTATTTTATTGGGGGTGTCCAGTTATTTCATATGTTCGTTTTCAGTAAGTTGTTAGAAAATCATTCCATTATATACTATCATGTCAGTGAAAGGCTTGTCAAATCATGGAAAAGTTTTGAGCCTCTGGCATACCTATATTGATCGAATTGTTGCTAGAGGCCACTATACAGAGAGGGCAGCTGCTGGAATTTTGAAGACTGTCGTGGTAAGTGTTCAGGTATAGTTTTCATCAGCTTCTTAGTTCACTATTACCTGCTGTTTTTATCACCTTTAGCTTAGGTTATCTTATTATATCCATTATTTTCAGCATAGCTTCTTCATTACTGTATTTCTTTTTCATTTTGTTTTTATATATTTGTTACTTAGGCTGAGGGTCCATTGGAAACAGCCTCTCTACCTTCGCAAGGTAGGGGTAAGGCTGTGTACACGCTACCCTCCCCACACTCCACTTGTGGGACTACACTGAGTATGTTGTTGTAGTTCACAATTGATGCCATTTGGTTTTTATGTAGTAACTTGTGGTGCTTCTTTTACTGAGTTCTTCAAAGCTTTTGTATGGGTTTTATATCATGATGGAGGTATCCTGTCTTGTTGTTTCGGGTTTTTGTTAAAGAAGTCTGGCAATTTCCAATCAAAAAGAAAATCATATCTTAATAAGAGAAACCTAATTGTGAGCAGAAAGCAATTTCAGGGTGAAATGTGAATATTCTTGGTGAAGTTGTATATGAACCGGATAACCAATGAAGTCAGAGATGCATTTATTCTTTTCTATACACATTATACTATACACATTCATCATACGACTGTCAAGTGTAGTTCCATCTGCAAAGATGATGAAACGATAAAACCCATGATCCGGATCAAAAAGTATGTGCTTTTTCTGATTGTGATTCGGCCAGTAATCCTGTACTGTAACTCTGTTGTTTTGATGATCCTGGCAAACAGTGAGACCTGGTCCCATGAGTCATGTATGTTCCTGGGACAAATGGGGAACAACAGTAAAGCTGCCAACATTGTTATGGTTGGTGAGCACGGGAAAAGAGGACAGAGCTCTCAGCCAATGGGAGAACACTAGGTTGTTTCGTTCAGAGATAATATACCTTTATTGACATGAAACTACCTAGTTTACACACTCAAGGTATCAAGCAAAAAGTGTATTTTGTCTCTTTCAAGAAGAACACAAGCTCTCAAGAACTAATTGCAAGAGACCTGGTAAAGTTATCAAGTGTATCTTTAGTTGTTGATCGAGACTTCGTGTCTTGTGTGTTTCAACTTGTAAGATTCATTCCTAATCTATAAAGGAATAGATCGTGTCTTTATCTTTCCAGCCAACAATGAGTTTTAATGCATGCATTATCATAGTTAAAGACCGCATTGTCCCTCAAAATATTTATTACATCTTTTCCACCATAACTGTGAAAGGTATTTTTGTAAATAAATATTTTTAATACAATTTATGTTATTTTTAATACACGAAACCTGACAATACATAAGAATAATCTATGTATTATTAATACAAACATTACTAATACACCATATACATTATTGTTATACACTCTATGCAAGGGGTTTTAATGTATGCATTAACATGGTTAAAAACCTCATTACCCACAATTACATCTTTTCCACCATAATTGTTAAGAACATTTTTATAAATGATTTTTTTATGCAATGCATGCTATTTTTAATATATCAAATCAAACAATGAATAAGAAATAGGAAGTATTACTATACAATAATATAATACAATTATACAAATATTACTAATGCACTCTATTAGTATTATTATTTTTATACACTCTGCCAAAAAGGAAATTTGATTCCGGTCCAAGTCATTTCAAAATTATAATATTCGAATTAACTTTATCTTATCAAATTCAAGTTTGTCTGAAATATTCACGATTATTAAATTTAGGATAAAATTTATGATTTATTTAATTATAAAAATAAATTTTTAATCAAACAAAATATAAAATTTTAATTTGTTAATTCCTAACGACCCCAAAGAAAGTCAATGAATCAGTCTACCTTTTAATAACTGGAAAATGAACACAACCATTCATCAATTATCTCAAGGAGAAGAAGACCAGTATGAACTCTGAGTCTGAGCTCTTAGATCTTATGGGTTAGTAATTTCTCTCTGATTATCATGAAATGAAAGAAGAAATTGCAAGTATTTACCTTCTTTTTTACTCTGTTAGTTGCAGGACGCTAGCTAGCTAGCTGCTGCTTGGGTATTTGAGAACTTAAAAATCATTGAGGAAAGGTGTTTGCTGTTAGATCTCAACCACTAAACACTAAACGAAAAGTAGTAAGTTGTTTATTTTCGTTTCTCACATTTACTCAAAATTCTTATCTATAAACTAATTGCATCTTATACAGATCTGAATCTGTTTTGTTCTTTTAGATCTCTGTGCTTTGTATAAGTTTGATGGTCAGTTTTGGATTTGGTCTAACTCTCCCTCCCAATTTATGTGATTTAATTTGACTTGATATGAAGTTTAAGGAAGAAAAATGTCTTTTGAAACTTGTTGGTCTAAAATAAGTAGTAAGACTGTTCAACAATACTTGTCTACTATTGATTTTGCAGTCTTCTTAAGAAAATTATAAATAGAAGAGTAATTTTATTATATCAACCTTTGAATATAATAAATACAATATCTTGAAAAATGTAATAGAGAAATGATTATAATTAATGATTAGAGTAAATTAGAAACTAAGTATAAAATTATCCATTGATTTCATAAAGTAAACAAGTATTGTTGGACATTCTAAAATAGTATAATGAACAACTATTGTTGGATGTAGGGAGTATGTTTGTGTGACTATAAATAAAATATACATTTTTCAAGTTAAAAGTGTTATTACATATAGAAATGTGTTATTTCCCCCTTTTTAGAATGACTAATAATAAAACTGAGAGCCTGTTTGACATTGCTGTTGGGAGGCCAGAAACACTTATTTTGAAAAAAAAAACATTTTTGTTGAAAAATTAAGTGTTTGGCAAATCAGTAAAAGTACTTTTAAATGAAAGCAGAAGTAGTTTTTCTACTATTGGGAAGGAGCTAAAAAATTTGTTTTTTTAAAAGAGCATAAGCGAAACAAAAAATTATTTTTCTCAAGACTAAAATATTCTATTCATATATACATATATATCAATATATTTCTTATTAGTTAATTAACATATTTCATAAATTTGGTCAAATTTCATTTAAGAATTTTATTTTTTATTTTTATATAATAAATCTTATAATTTATTTTACGTTTGTATATTATTATTTTATATATTATATATTACTTTGCGTACTATTTTTTAGAATTAGAAAAAAATGGTAACAACAATAGTTTTACAAGATTAAAAAAAAGAAAAAAATAACAATTAAAGATTTCAGTCTCCCAAAAAAGATATAATATTGAAAATTTAAACTTGTAAATTTATATTTTTAAAAATAAAAATTTAATTAATTTATTATAATAGACATTTAAAATAGTTTCTCTCTATAAAATAATTTTTATATTAGAAGTAGATTAATAGTTGTCCTTTTTGTAATTTGACTCTTAAAAACACTTTTTAATAAAGATTAGTCAAACGTAATTTGCTTATGATAAACACTTTTCAAATGAATTAGTCAAACACAAATTGTTTTTTTTTTCGAAAGCACTTATCTAAAAAGTCATTTTAAAAAAGTTCTTCTAAAAATAAGTTGTTTTTAGCCGCAATGCCTTATAGGCTCTGAGTCTTATAAATTGGGAAAGAGGGTGTAGCATGTTTGACCAAGCTTTTAGAAAGTCAAAACTTCTATTTTAGAGAGAATTGAATTGCTTGACTAAATTTTTATGAATTTAAAAGTGTTTATTTTAAAGAGTCGAGTTATTTGGCCAACTTTTTAGAAAAAAAAAGTGCTTTTGAGTACTATGAGAGACCATTTTTCAATTGTTACAAAAACTTTTGGTATAGTTTCCTGTGTTCTTCCTCCAGCTTTTCAACACTTGACTCTAGGCTTTTATGCTCTCTTGAAGCACTCTATAGTCTATACGATTCATGTCAACTTGGTAGCCTCGTTATCAAAGGTGTCTCCTTGATCTATATTTAAAATAAATGTATTCTCGAATTTAGACCTTGTAAAACAAAGAAAGGAGTAGGAATAAATATGAAGTTCATCACTTATAAAACATTGTATATGAAAGGTTAAAAAAAAGGTTCTCAAGCTTGAACTCAAATTTAACACTCTTATGAGTTATGATATACCCAAGTGTCGTGGTAAACTATAAAGAACAAATTCTCAAAACAAATGACATAGAGTTGGCTATAAAGAAAACAACATTCATGGAGTGAACTAAGAAAACCAATGTTTCCAAAGTAAAGATGCATATTCCACCATTGATTATATCATCAAGTGAAACTAAGCCACCCCCGATTTATAGACTTTGATACTTCCCTCAAGCACAAAGACACACACAATCATGCATAAGAAGAAATAGTAGTCAAAAGTTCATGATTCCACGTATGCTGAATGCTTCTATAACAAATTGTACACTTTTATGGTATAGCCAAGTATCATGATAAACAACAACTACTGAAGTTCGCAACAACCACAATAAGTTGGTTAGGAGGAAGATAATAATCACTAAGACTATAATTCTCATCCAACTTCCAAATCTAAGCAACTTTATGATAAGCTAGTCATCACAACATTCAATAAAGATCATCTCCCAAGAGAGTTGGTATGCAATTGGATTAGAAGACGAAGAGTATCTGATAAAATAAAGGAACCTATAAATTCAAAAGACAATGCTTTTATTATCCCTATTACCTTTTTGCACCAAAACACCCTTCAACTCAAATTATTGGATATAATTCATTTTGCAAAATCTCACAAGAAATAATAGTCATTAAAATGTCAATTTTGAGATACCAAACTAGTCCATCATCTAGTTGGTTATCTTCCATTTATTAAACAAAGAATCACATCCCCGGGGTCAAATACAAATCAAACCCCAAATGTCTCTAAGAGCTCCAACAATCACTTCACATAGCATCTCAAATGGCAAGTTTCTTAAGAATAAACACAAGTCATCACATAGTTGCTGCAAGAAGTCTTAAGGTCGAGGGACTTGAGTACTTAACCTTCATAGCTTTAGAAAGCTTAAGCATTATAAGTGTCAACCATTCATACAATATCAATCTTGGAATTAGAATATATTAAAGCAGTAAATCGTAATATATCCCAAGATAGTGCCTCCAAACTTATTACTTCATTGTAGACTCTCCTGTGATGAACCTTGATAAATGAATCTGTAAGTTT